TTAGGTTACCTTTTTCATGTGCTTGTTTAGGATAGGGTGAGGTGTAGTTAGAATTTTTATATGTCTGGCTATTGTTCATTAGTTTTTTTCCTAGGTATACTTTTTATGTGTTGCCTTTTGTGTGTTTAGGCATAGTCACAAAAAGATCTTCTTAGGCATATGCATTCATATTGATCATATTCCCTGGCTTCATGCCCTCGCTCATTACGCGTATAAGTGTTTTTTATTTTATGGATCACTTCCTTATAGAGTGAGTATTCCTCTACATACTGGTTGGCTTCTAATTTGATTTTTTGAGCATTCATCATTAAATTCATGCCTACCCATACACAACCTACTTTATCACTAAAGACTATGAATTAACTGAAAAATAAAATAATTAAGTGCCATGAGTATTAAAAATTTTAAATTTAAAAGTACAAAATATTGTCACATTAGTCTTTGGGTGCATACCATTCATATTTAAGCATCTTAGTTTTCATAATAAAGTTGTAAGACCTACTTCTCTTAATAAACAACAACCTATTCTATCTTGAACTTTAAGAGAAAGAACACACATAGTTTTACTGTGATTAGGTGGGTTTAGAAGGAAGCCTTTTACGAAAAAAGTTATAAATCCAGTAGTATCGGACTTGCTCCATCCTTTATAGGATTGGATCATAATTCCCTTTGTTTGCTACATTTTCTTCTCATTGAACTAAATTCTGAGGTTTTACTTCTTCTAGTCAATCTCTTTTTCAGTCTTAGGATTTTGAGATTGTTCATTTAGTTACAATGTAAATCTTCACCTTCTAACCTTTCTCATGACCATATATCTTGTAATGTAACTCTAAGACTCTAATAAAATGCCAACTGGAACAATAAAAATCTCTTCTAAATTTCAAATCTATAAAGCCAAATCAAATAATAATTGAGGTGTCATCGATTCTCTCAGTATTTTTAATACCTCCTACTTCTCTTCATTTAGGTTTTGAAAAGAATTGTTTCAATTTTGAGCTTTTCCATTTAAAATTTTCAGTAATCATTTGTGAAAATAGAAACTTTAAAATTCTTAAAGATATAACCATAGCCTTCATCGAGAGCTTTCTAAGGAAATTTATTCCTTAAAATGTAATTAACTATACGGGAATGCTCTTATTGAAATTTAGTAACACGGTATAATCTAAACCATATCTAGCCTTCGGATTAGCTAGAGGAATGATTTCTTGATTTTAATTCAAACCAATGAAAGTTCAAAAATCCATTTGTTTAAATAATTGAATCCATCATAAAGTGTTGTTTTTATCTTTCGATGTGGTATATTAATTTTGATGCCAAATTTTTATTTTTAAATAATTAAATATTCAAGATTTGTACGGTCATATTTAAAAAATAAACCAACACTACCCTGCACTAACAATTGTACCCTACCCATATTGCGTCAATCCATCAACATTTATTAATCCTAGAAATTTAATTGGAGTTAATCTCTTCATCTACACATGTATTTGGAGCATAAAAGTGGCATGTAACCTTTCAAAAATTATTTTTTGTAAATTACACTATATGAACTATATTATATAGTCTTAATTTCTCCAAATAGTTTGTGCATGAAAAAGACGTAATAAGGAGCAAGTTTGTGCTTCCTTATCTTCATCATAGGAGATTCCGCTTGATGTCTGAGAAATTTGGTTTAGAGAGTTTAAGGTAATTGTTATTACTTTTTTATTTTTTTAATATAATCATTTACAATATTATTGAGAAAACCCCCATTTAATTTTGTAGGAATATTTATTTTTGATGCCTCTACATCAAGTTAAAGAATAAATTTTTGGCAACACAGCTTGACTCATTTACATGATATGTGTCTGTATTTTTTGAGAGGCCCTTATGGATTAGAGAATAGATATAGGCAGAGTTTTGTTAAGCATAGGCTAATCTGAAGTATATTTGTAAGAGGAAGCGAGCAAGGAAAACGTATGCCTTTGATTTTGGTGGCATTGATATATGTATTAATGTTTATAACTTTTGAGAGGCCCTTATGGATCAGAGAATAGATATAAGCAAAGTTTTGTTGAGCGTGGGATAATCTAGAGTATCTTTGTAAGAGGAAGCAAGCAAAGAAAAATTATGCTTTTGATTGTCGTGGCATTGGTTGTTGATATATATATATATATATATATATAGATACATACATACATACATACATACAAATAGTAGCTCACATATTAATTATTGGTATGAAGAGTTAGGCATTTGTAAGGAAAGGGTCAATGGGTTGGCATTTTGAGTAATTTAAGTTTGATATATAGAAGCAAGTAGAATGAAGAAATAAGAAAATTTAATGTATGGGCTATTTGCACAAAATATAAGGCATATGATGTGTGACATTTCTATTTTATTGATCAACTTGAGAAAATTTATTCGTTGTTAAGCATGTGGCTGATTATATTTATAAGATATATAGAAGCTTGGATAATTATTTAAATTATTCTCCTATAAGCTAAGATGGAAAGTTGAGGCAACAAATCTAGAAAAAAAATGCAGCCAATAATAAAGGAGGAGAACAAAGAAGGAAAAAAAGGATTATTAATGAGTTGTAATGATGTTATTAAAATAATAGTCATTATCTCATTAGAATTAATTTAATCGTAACGAATTGCTAAAATTTATTAAACGTGAATATGGAATGTTATGTCATAATCATATTTCTTATGATTTTATTTATGATATAGTTCTATGTTTCTGCGGCTTTAAGGGTATTGGTCCACTTCTACATGAAGAAAATTTATTTGTTGTTAAGCATGTGGTTGGTTATATTTATAAGATATATAGAAGCTTGGATAATTGTTTAAATTACTCTCCTTATAGCTAAGATGGAAAGTTGAGGCACCAAAATTAGAAAAAATAGAGCCAATAATAAAGGAGGGGAACAAATAAGAAAGAAAAGGATTATCAATGAGTTGTGATGATGCTATTAAAATAATAGTCATTATGTCATTAGAATTAATTGATATGTAATGAATTGTTATAATTTATTAAAAGTGTATATGAAATGTTATGTCATAATCATATCTCTTATGATTTTATTTATGATATAGTTCTATGTTTCTGCGGCTTTATGGGTATTGGTCCACTTTTACATGAAGAAAATATTTTTGTTTTGCTATAGATTATAATATTATATGTCATATATATTAGAAGCCAGAGCACTAGAAATGAATAAGGATGAAGGGCCCACCCCTTTTTCGTTATTATTTGAAAAAAAAAATTACAAACCTTTTTTGGGCTAAAATCTCGCATTTGTAAGGCCCTTCGTAAGGCTTAATAAAAAAAATTATCTCACAACTTTTGTTTTTTTAGTTTGTTGAAAGATATATCTTTGACGAAGTTTTTACTGCGATCGAAAATCCATCGGCAAGCAACTTTTTGGACTAAGATTTTTTCTTTAGTAGTAATTGATATATGTATAACTGAAAATATATTTATCATATATTTTTTATATATAAATGTTATTTCAATAAATTTTACTAGTTTTTTTGCAACTTGTTGACTAGTAATTTTAAGCATTTTTTGTGAGGTTTTTTGTATTTTCTTATTTTATATATATATATATATATATATATATATATATACATACATATATATATATATATATATATATAGACACATATATAGTGGAATGCACTGTCTAATATAAAAATAAAATACTAAACCAAAGTCCTCTTAATTTCTGGTGAACATTTGTTGTTATCCCCTTATAGTTAATGTACAAAAATTCTTTGCTGATAAGATTGAGATACATACAATGAAAAGGTCTTCCAACTTCATAGAAATAATATCATTAATTAAATGGAGGCCATAAAATAAAGCTGGCATCACGAGTTCATTAAGTTTTTCTTAATATATATTGAAAAACTTGTTGCACTCATGATGTCAATTTTATTCCATGGCTTCCTCTTTGATAATGCTCTGATTTTTACAAGTTTGCATGAAAATTTCATTACTATAAATCTCAAGATTATTAGTAGAGATTATTCGTACATTAATTAGTAGGAGATAATAATCGAATTTTCAACAATATTAAGAGGACTTTGGCTTAGTGTTTTATCTTTACAATAAAGAGTGCATTCCTATGTCCTTAATAATTATGTGTTTGGACATTGCTTGCTCAAGATGGAAGCTTGTTGGTGTTGGAATTTCCAGGAATTGTGAAAGAGAACAAGTTGTGTTATTTGTAGTGGAATACCAAGTGACACGGTGGTATATATGTGGTTGGATAAAGGCTGAAGTTTTTGTTTAATCTCACAAAATTGGACTTCTTTAATCTCTACAAGCTCTTGCTCTTAGACTTTATTTTACATGTATCATATATGTTTAGAAAAGTAATATAATAAAGGTTATAATTGACATTATGCTTGTTTTATTTACAAGCATAACAAAGTGGTTATATATGTATGATTTCTTCAAACTACATTCATATGACCATATATATCTGAACACATGATTATTTAATATTTTATTTGTAAGCTCTTTGTTGTAGTCTAGATATGGTGAGTTTTTACGATTCTAACATTTATGAATTTAACATTATTTATTTTTTCTTATAATTATAATCGTTGCATTATTTACAGCTTCTATAAAACATTTTATTATCATAATATAAATCTCATAATGTTTTTATTTGTAAGATTTTAACAAAATATTTTTCTTAAAATTTACATGGGGCATTTACATACCTATGACATAATTCTTATGTACTAATATCTAAAGCTTAAATTTAAAGTTGCATATTTATAAAATGAAAAAAAAAATTATATCACTTAAAAAAATCATTATTACTGACTTTTAAAAATTGAAATGTATTTTGTTCAACATTGACAATGTAAAGTAGGATGTAGAAAACAAAAATAAAGATATAAAAATACTTCAGGAATTTATGATATATGATATAGAGAGAATGCATTTTTATGATTTTTATTAGTGAAATTCATATATTTCGTCATCAAAGTTTGGGACAAGTGCAACGGTCGGATATTGGAAACTGGAAGTTAACCACTGACCTATCGAAAGTGTTTTTGAAGCTGTGCCTGTTGTTCCTTTTCAAGGGGTTTTATGGCCTTAATTTCGTTGCGGCGATTAACAAATCGGCCGGTTGGTGGTTTCTCTGAGAAGGAATCCTTGCTTAGTTACAAGTAAACAGAGATCCGATATGTGAAATTGATGATAGCCCCGATCACTTCTTCTATCGAGCGAGCGAGAGAGAGTGCAAGGATGCGGTTTGTGCCCATCCGCCTCTCTCCCTCAAACTCCGCCGCCATCATTGCATCTAATTCCCGCATCGCTCGTCTTAGCCGCCAAGGCCAGATAGATGCCGCACGCAAAGTTTTCGATGAAATGCCAGAGCGGACTATTGTCTCGTGGAACTCTCTCATCTCCGCTTACTTCATAAAATGGCAGCCTCAAAATGCCCGCAATCTTTTTGAGCGGATGCCTAAGCGAAATACCGCATCCTACAACGCCATGATCTCTGGCTACATCAAGTTAGGCCATTTTGCTGATGCCTATGCAGTCTTCAACTCCATGCCTGACCGAAACGTCGTCTCCTGGACCTCCATGCTCCGCGGGTACATCCAGGCTGGCGCTATTAATGAGGCCGAAGCCCTCTTCTGCCGCATGCCTGAGAAGAATGTCATCTCATGGACTGTCATGCTTGGCGGGCTTATTAAAGATGGTCGCATTGACGATGCCTGTCAACTATTCGCTCAGATGCCTGAGAAGGATGTGGTTGCCAGGACCAGCATGGTTTCAGGATTTTGTCAGGTAGGCAGAACTACCGAGGCTAGAGAAATCTTTGATAATATGCCTCGTCGGAATGTGATAGCCTGGACTGCGATGATCTCTGGGTATGCCCATAATCTACAACTTGAACTCGCAAGGAAGCTTTTTGAAGTGATGCCGGTGAAGAATGAGGTGACATGGACTGCCATGCTTACTGGGTACACCCAAGCAGGGCAGATTGAGGAGGCCATTGATTTATTCTATCGGATGGAAGAAAAGCCTGTGATTGCTTGCAATGCCATGATTATTGGACTCGGGCAATGTGGAATGGTAACTGAAGCAAGAGATGTTTTTGATCAAATTTTAGAAAAAGATGATGGGACATGGAGCTCAATGGTGAAAGTATACGAGCAAAATGCTTTCCAATTGGAAGCATTTGATGTGTTTCGCTCGATGCAATTGGCCAATGTGCCCCCAAATTATCCTTCAATCATCAGTGTACTTGCTGTTTGTGCTGGCCTAGCGGTTATTCTCCATGGCAAGCAGGTTCATGCAAAAATGATTAGAACACATTTTGACAGTGACGTGTTCACTGTTTCGGCTCTTATCACAGTTTATGTCAAGTGCGGTGACCTTGCCAAGGCTAAGATAATTTTTGATAGTTTTGAAAAAAAGGACACTGGCGTGTGGAATTCCATGATAGCAGGCTATGCACAACATGGACTGGGAGAGGAAACTCTACAAGTTTTCAATGATATGTGCTTGATGGGCATGATACCTGATGAGATTACCTACATAGGCGTTCTTCAAGCTTGTAGTTATTCTGGAATGGTCAAAGAAGGGAGGGAGATTTTCAAGTCCATGAGTTTGAATTCCTTGGTTAGACCTACGGCTGAGCATTATGCTTGTATGGTAGACATGCTTGGTCGAGCTGGCCAAGTTGATGAAGCAATGGAATTGGTTAATAATATGCATGTTGAAGCTGATGCTGTTGTATGGGGGGCCCTACTAGGAGCTTGTAGGATTCATAAAAATCTAGAAATTGCCGAAATTGCTGCGAAGAAGCTTTTGCAGCTTGAGGCTTGGAATTCAGGCCCTTACATTTTGTTGTCCAATATCTACGCTTCTAGTCGGAGGTGGGAGGACGTTGCTAAATTAAGGAAGGCTATGAGCTTAAGAAATGTCAGCAAGTCTCCTGGTTGTAGTTGGCTTGAAGTCGACAAGATTGTGCACATGTTCACCGGTGGAGACTTAATAGCTCATCCTGAGAAGCAAATTATTATTAGCTTGCTGGAGAGATTGGATAGCTTATTGATGGAGTCAGGCTACCACCCTGATTTTAGCTATGTTCTTCATGATGTTGATGAGGAGCAAAAAAGACATAGTTTACGTTATCATAGTGAAAGACAAGCAGTAGCGTTTGGCATTTTGAAGGTTCCTAAGGGAATGCCAATTTATATCATGAAGAATTTGCGGATTTGTGGTGATTGTCACATTGCAATCAAATTGATATCAAAAATTATGGAACGAGAGATTGTCCTAAGAGATTCTAACAGATTTCATCATTTCAAGGATGGCTCTTGTTCCTGCAGAGATTACTGGTAAGTTTTAACGTTATATTACATCAATACAATTACATTATCGCCTTTTCTTAGCATGTTTACATACAAATGTGAAGCTATCAAACCTACAAAGTCCAAGCCTGGTTATGCTACACTTTTCTCTTGTGTAGGTTAATTATTCTGTGTGAATTTATCAGTTAATAGTGGAGTGAATGCAATATTTGCTACATTGGGTGGGGATTTTTATGCAATTTCTGAAATTCTAATAAAATATTAATCATTCACATTTCATGTGATTCATTAGACTCAATAAACACATAAATTTTGTAATTATTGCACCTTAGAGCTATATTTTCTTGGTTTCCTATGCCGTCCATTAATGCATTATGCTTCCATGCAGTTGTAGATTATTTTAGATGGTAACACAAGACACCTGGATGATAATAATAACTTTGTAGAGCTTATTGATTTTGTGTGAAAGAAATGGGTCTAAGGTGGGAAATATGACGTATGTGAATTTTCCTTGGATAGCTGGGAATGCTAGGAAAAGGGTTTAGAAGTTATTGGTGGTGATTGTGTGGATATTTTGGTATCTAGCAAAATAAAGTATGGTTGGATATGATTGGACAATTTTATGAAGCTTATATATTTTTTAAACAACTTATTATTAGGAGTGTGGGATCTAAGATAACAACTCCTTATAATCATAGGGAAATGTGGTGGAGAGGATAACAATGTGTAATAAAAATAAATGCAAAAAAAAAACTTATACACAATAAAGAAATTAAAAATATACTTTTTTTTTCAGCAAAGAGGAGTGTTGCATGTTACCAAAGTAGAAAAATGGAATAACCTTGGTTCTGAAAATCAGACTGACTTGTTCGACTGATTTGATCGTGAATTTGCCGTAAGTTGGGCTTGGTTCATACTGAAAATGCCGCATTTATTTAATCAACTCAAACCACCTCAAACTTGCGATTTGATTGTCAATTTGAGAATTGTTGCTAGTTTCTAAGAAGTTTTTGAGTTCCTTCTTTGGTTAACTGCATATGATCTAAGGACTAGATTTCTTTTTTTTCCAAATTTGTTGTATATAAAATTTAAAAACTTAATATCCTTTTTATATGGTAAGGATATTATTTTTAAAATTAAAAAATTTAAAATCCTAAGGACTAGATTGTCAACTCCATGCAGCTATAGATTATTTTCGATGATAACACAAGACACCTTGATGATAATAATAACTTTGTAGAGCTTATTGATTTTGTGTGAAAGAAATGTGTTCAAGCTTATTGAGTTATTGATTTTGTGTGGAAAAAATGGGTCTAGGTTGGGAAATATGACGTGCGTGAACTTTCTTTGGATAGCTGGGGATGCTAAGAAAAGGATTTAGAAGTTATTGGTGGTGAGTGTGTGGCTATTTTGGTGTAGAGTTGAAAAAAGTATGGTTGGCTATGATTAGGAAATTTTATGAAGCTTTAATATTTTTTAAACAACTTATTATTAGGAGTGTGGGATCTAAGATAACAACTCCTTATAATCATAAGGAAAAGTGGTGGAGAGGATAACAATGTGTAAAAAAAATAAATGCAAAAAAAAAAAAACTTAAATACAATAAAGAAATTAAAAATAGACTTTTTTTCAGCGAAGAGAAGTTTTGCATGTTACCAAAGTGAAAAAATGGAATAACCTTAGTTCTAAAAATTAGACTGTCTTGTTTGACTAGTTTGATCGTGAATTGGCTGTAAGTTTGGCTTGGTTTGTACCGAAAATGCCTCATTCATTTAATCAGCTTTTACCACCTCAAACTTGCGATTTGATTGTCAATTTGAGATTTGTTCCTAGTTTCTTAGAAGTGTTGAGTTCCTTCTTTGGTTAACATGATATGATCTAAGGACTAGATTTCTTTTTTCCAAATTTTTTGTATATAAAATTAAAAAAATTAATATCCTTATTATACTAGCAACATTCCCGAAAAACTATATCCCAATCTTGTATGTATTCGTGTGAGGCATCCCTCATGCAGTCCTAATAATTGCCAGGTGATTTTTCTATAGTTGCATTATGCTCGATGCTTTTAATTTCCTTACCTCAAAACATAATTGATGCAATATATACAATTTGTCTTGATTATCATCTACCTTCATATCACAAATGAAAGTTAATTTGTTAAGAGATTGTCTAGAGAAATGTAAGCTTCTTATGGAGTCTTATAGATGTTGTTGGAAAGAAACATGATATACTTTGTTGATTGACGTGAGGATAGATGCTATAAATAGAATATTAATAAACTTCTTTGTTATTGTCTAGGAGTAACTTTTTTAAGGTTTGTTGATGCTTATGACATCAGAAGGGATGCAACTATATGTTCTTTATTTGTTGAATTCATTTAGTGGATTGGTCCATAGAATATTGTTCAACTTATGACGGATAATGCAACAAATTTTAAAAAGGCAGCAGTGTTATTACATGAAAAATATACTACTATTTTTGGTCTCTTTATGATACACATTTCATAAATTTAATTTTGAAAAATTTAGGTAGCATGCCTCATGTGGCAGAACTTGCTAAAGTTGTATACATGATAATAGTATTTATTTATAATTAGATTTTTATATTATCTTGGTTATAAAAATGACATTGGTGGAATGAAATAGTTTGTCTGAGATCCATTTGTTTTTCTACAAATTTAATACTGAAAATTGTGTATGGATTTAAACATATTGATAAGCAATTGCTATTAGTAAGTATTATGATGACTGAATATTGTCAAAAAACCACTATAAAAAAAGTAATTTCTTTTTTCTTCTTTAAATTCTGGAATGTTTTCTTCATCATTTCAAAAGTATCAAGGATATTAATATTTTTTTTTTGAGTTATTGATTCAAATGAAAAACTATCCCTTATCAATGTTTATGATGACATGTATAAAGCAAAGAAGACAATTAAAGAAATTATATAAGCCATATAGCAATATTATTAAGAAAAGATGAGATGAACAGCTTCATCAAGGTATCCTCTATGCTGAACATTTTTTTAATCATCACTTTTAATGTGATATAAATACATATTGCCAATAATCTAATGCTCTGGAAGTATTAATTGAATTTATTAGTAATAAAAATATGTGCACTAAACCTAAAAGATAATTTAAAAAACTTTTGAAAGGCAATTGCTCTCACCATGTCAAAAGAAATACAACTTCATAAGTGCTTCAAGCTTTCAACTACGAGCACAACAATTTTTTTTGCATCTTGAAATTAATTAAAAATGATAAGGTACAAATGAATGTTGAAAGATGTTTGAATCTAGTGTTCTAAATTTATAAAAATTAGCTATCATATTCTTTAGTCAAAATTTTTTCATCTAACTTCAAGGCAATTAGAGTATTTTTGAATAGATTCACATAGAGAAGAAATTATCTAGATTATTTAAAATTAAATGATATGTTTTATGCTAAAAGCAATCTTAATTTAAAAAATGTATATATTCATATTCTAGTGGTAAATATTTTGAGGCTACAAATGTACCCGGGATGATGGAAAGTCATTTGAATCTTGATCGGGTTTGTTATTCTCAAATTTAGGTTAGGACAACTAAAATTTCCTATTTAGAGGTATTTAAGTTAGGGCTTCACCTCTATCTATAAATATTGCCCCTTTTCATACCTTAAGACTATGATATCTCTTAAATTAATTTATCTTAATCGAATTAAACTCAACTCAGTTAATCTAATCCATCTCTCTTAAAACCAAATTTACTTCCAACTCAATTCAACCCTAATCCAAACCCAATTCAATCCTAACCAAATCTAAATTATTAAAATCTCAAATCTAATTTAACTTTGACTCATACATGTTCAAAACCCAACTCTAAATCCAATCCAATCTAAATGATTTCTCAAACTTGATTCATTTATTCAAGCTATTGGAATCAACCTTAAGGGTAAACCATATTAGAATTCAAGTGAAGTTAAGCTATGTCCACTCTTATCCATTTCATTAAAGTCTTTAAATTTTGTTCATTTGATAAATGTTTCATTATTGAATAGAAAGATATAAGACATAGTTTTAATTGAGAGCTTTCTCATGAGTAATTCTTGAGATGTAAATATCTATGAGGGAGCCCCCTCATAGGGATCCCAGACCCCAGAATTAAAATAGACTTTGTTCTGTAGATCCATAAATCCTAAAGAATTTTCTCATCCAAATAATTAGATCCATTCTAAGATAAGATTTCTATCTTTTGCGATCGTATATTATTCTTCGAATGTCATATTCAATCATTTTGATAGAAGCCTTTCGAGATCTACGGTGGACTCTAGCATGACTCTTTGAGTTAATTTCCCCCGATCTGCTATGATGTCATTTCATATATGAAGCAATACACATATAAGCAAATGTCTCTTAAGATGTGGAATAAGTGACATATAAAAAAATCACATGTATAGAACTTTCTTCTATCTCTTAAGTTTTTCTGTTCTAAGATATAAATCTATGAGATTGATAAAATCTACACTAAATCTCTATTGCACTAGACTTGTAAAATAACATACATCCATTTTCACTCTCTGCTCTCAGCCTTAACCTGGATACCAACCTTTTTTTTTCCTCTACAAGTCTTCTAGAACTAAACTTTCATGTTGATTTGTCTCTTTCAATAATCCTACCAATTGATTGAAGCACTCTCGTGGCATATTAAACTCGTTTTTAATTTCCAGTAGTCCGAGAGCTATAGATAACTAACTTAAAATGAAATGTTCAACCATCCCACAATGGCCTTTGAGTTGCATTCAGTAAACCATAACCTCCTGAGCTTCGTGGTTTGGTTACTCTTTCTCCACTTAACACAAATAATAATGTATTTTCTCATCAAAGATCATTTCTTTAAATCGACTTGATTGAAATTCAAGTTGTGGATCATAGCTCATCAAAGGAACAGAGCGATATATTGTGGGGTCAACATCGTCATGTGAAGTCAAAGTCTAATAATCAGGTTGAAATGTAATAATCAAATTGAAATCTCTGATGATATAAATATCTGACTTTGTCTGACGTTAAGTGTGTGGTATTTCGGTGTTTCAAACATAGACACTAAAATCTACCTTTAGATGAAGATTAGATGCCACTGTCATGAAGGCTTCTACTTCGTTCAAAAACTCTTCAGTGATTTCTTTTAACCTGGATAAAATCTAATTTACAATCACAATTTTGATGTACGAATATCCATAGATAACCCGATCCATCACAAAAAATGAACACATCATAAAGTACAATAAACATAGATCAATTAAACATAAATGTGTGTATAACATTTAGGTGTTACCATTCAGCCTAAGAAAAAAAAATTTATGAAACAAATTGAGCCTTACATGTGTGGCACGCAGAATAGGCAATTGTGTGTCATGCAAATAATAAATGGGCATAGACACTAATGGAAAGAAGTTCCTTCTTTTTCTCGTTCAAGCATCTTAGCTATGCCTTTAACATTATTAATAATCATCCATAAGCTTATTGCCTTTTTTTTCCTTTTTTTTTTGAAAGGAATGTCCAAAGGCTATTAGACGAGCATCGGTCATCCCTAGGTGTGCTAAATATTTGAGTACCACACTACACACGGGGTGACTCGAACTCGTGACTTGAGGGGACATACGACCTTCAGAGAGGCTGCCCTACCAACAGGCCATGGTACGCTCACAAAACTGTTTAAGGTTATTAACAATTTCTTTTCTATTTTCTATTCACTTTTGTGATTGTCAAAGATTTTAAGTTTGAGTCTTATAGCAAAAATAATGGGTAGCAAAAAATTTCTATATTAAGGTAGAAGAGGAAATTTAAAAACATGCTACTTTTCAGTACCGAATCTTTTGAATTTGTTGCAACTCTTCCCTTTGACCACATGCAACCACCAATTTGAAGCTACATAGTTTTAATTTTAAAGCTAAATTTATTATTTTAAAGGGTTTAGTTAAAATCTTTCTTATAATTTACTCCGTTATGTTGTCTTTGGGGCATTTACATGCATACTTTTGCTCACTCTTGTGCATCCCATTTATTCTTAAGAATAGAGACCAAAATATTCTTCCTTTTCTCCTCGAGCATCTTTTTAAATTCTTAAAACAATATTAAAGAGTTTAGTTAACCAAGAAAGTCACAAATCTTCAATACAAAATGCCTCAATGGTTAAGACGTCATACAAAGATTTCTCTTAATCAAGAGATAGTAAGGAGGATCTCTTACGGAAGTTATAAATTTATCAAGAGGTTTGATAGAGAATTACAGAGAGAGTAAGGAGGATCTACATATGATATTTATGGATTTAGAAAATGCTTACATTAATGTTTCAAGAGAAGTACTTTCAACAGTTTCTGAGAAGAAAGGTATTGATATGACTTATATTCAAGTCATTAAATATACCAGAGTTGTTACTTGTGTTCAAACAGAAGGAGAATTGACCCAATTTTTTCCTATTTCAATTATATTACATCAAGGATCAACTTTAAACCCATATCTTTTTGCTTTAGTATTTGAAGCTCTTACTAGACATTTACAGGAGGATGCACCATGGTGTGTGCTTTTCGCTGATGGTATCATTCTTGTGGGTAAAACTAGAGAAAGAGTTTAGAATAAACTTGAATTATGGAGGTCTACATTAGAGTGTAAAGGCCTTCGTTTGAGTAGAACTAAAGCTAAATATATAGAATGTAATTTTAGTAGTAATAATAGCTCGATCTAGTGGTCGAATTGTAACTATGAGAGATTAAATCATGAAAAGGTGTGAACATTTTAGATATCTCGAGTCTATTATTCAAAGTGATGGTAATATAAATGTGGATGTTATTAGTAGAACTCAATTTTGTTTGGTTGAAGCGAAGGAATGCATTGGGCATATTGTGTGATAGAAACGTACTACTTTGACTTAAAGGAAAGTTTTACAAGATCGTGGTGAGAAAGGAAATGTTATATGGAGCAGGATGTCAACCATTAAATTAGAATAAGAAAAACAAAGTTAAATATTGTAGGGATGAGCATGCTTTAGGTGGATGAGTGGCTTGACATTTAGGGATAAAATGCAAAATGAATATATCTGTGAAAGGATTTGTGTAGTTTCAATGACCAACGAGATTTTAGAGAGTCGTCTTAGATGACTTGGTCACATTAAACGTTGATCATCTGATGATCCGGTAGAAAAGTAGATGTTTTAGATTCGAATTATGTTAAGAAAGGCAGAGTGGGACCTAAAAAGTATTGTGCATATTGAATAATTAAAAATGATCTTAATCTATTAGAATTATATGAAATTTGCCACTTAACAGGACACAATAGAGAAAAATGTTTCATGTAGCCGACACCACTTAGTGGGATAAAGGATTGCTCTTGTTCATGTTCTTGTTCTTGCATTTACGTACATATTCCTCAATTCCTATATATTTTCATATATAACACCTAATCTTTGACTTCTACATTTATACCACCAATATCGTTCATATAAAATCAAAAATACCATCTTTTTAAAATTTATAGGGCATTTACGTGCATAGCACACAATTCTTATATATAAAAGCTGTATGTATATAAAAACCGCTAGTTTTAGGTTTAGATAGATGCATAAGAGTTCATCGGTACATATGTAAATATACAACAGGAAAAATAAAAATACGAATTAAAAAATCATTTTTCGACAAAATAGAAAAACTCCAAATGCATAAAAACTAACAAATGGAATTAAATAAAATTATAGATGAAATTTGCAATCGACATGAACTTTGATTTTAAACAAAAAACTTAAGAAATGTTGAACCGTGCAACGAATGCAATCCAAATCAACTATGTTAATCAAAGGTGTAGGTAGGAAAGAATGGAAATGAGAGATTTTGGCTTCAGTTCAATGTAATAGGGTATTTCCGTGGCGTTGATAATTATAATTTAATAATCGACAGGTTAGTGCGTCGGTTAATATAGAATGTTTGTCAGTTATAAGTTAAGAAAAATCAACATTCCAGTTCCAACGACATTGGACCGTCAGTTTATGAGTCCGCATGAACCGACAGAATTAGCCGTTGGTCAAGTCTCATAGCCCGTTGGAAATGTCTTTAACGAGAAATCTACAAATAATTTAGTCCGAAAACCGTGTGAATTGACTTGCAATACGTAGCATTTTTATGCCGTCAGCAAATTGTTCAAAATTTTCAACCAGCTTATAGTCGTCGGCTTTCCTATTGCTTTTAGATTTTTTTCTGTAGGATATCCAGATTCTAAACTCGCCCTCATATCTCTCAATGTGATTTGTCACATAATAATCAAGCTAGATGAAGGATTAAAAGATTAGGGAATTTTTAGACGATTATGCCAGACATAAAATCGATAAATAGCAATTTTTCACTCTATCTATAATCAAGTGGGGAAGAGAAAATATTGTGGTCGAGAAAGTGTTAAAATGAGGGGAAAAAAAAGAGGCATGCATGCAGTACTAATTCCAATCTGATATTATAACATAATCTTTTCTCAACCAATATATAAGGATCAATCATACTTTTGTTTATTAATTGTGTACCGAGGAGTCTTTTTGATGCAGTTTAACTTACAGAATTAATTATAATATTTTTTATTAAAGAAACCAATAGAATTAAACCAATAGAATTAATTTAAGATTCTTTTCAAATATATGACTAAGATATAAATATTAAACTATTTACTCATAGACTTCGAAACCCAATTTAACATCATCGAAACTGTTGCACGATACTATTATCTTAATGTTGGAAGAAGCCTCTGCTGGTGTGCGACGAAACCTTAATAAGTATAAGAATGTTAATAGTGGAGCTAAAAGAGGATGTTAGCCTTTATATTTTAAAAGGGATATGATTCTACAGATATATTTATTTACACGCATTTAAAGATGCTGTTCCGACCAAAAAAAAAATGATATTTACCCAATTTTCTGTATATTACATACGTTAGTCCAAAAAAAAAAAAGCCTTTTTTTCTTCATAAAAGTACTAGTAAATAGAAATCATTCTCCCAAACAAATTACTAGAAAAAGTCAAAGTTTCCTTCACACTGTTCATCAAAATGGAAATTTATGCTATTCCAATATCTTGTCATTAAAATATAAATAAAAGAGTCGTACCCAATTGAGGCTTCTAAAGTTCTTCCACCACTTGCCAATCCCTATATAAACCCCGTATGCCCCCAACTTCTCTTTTCACAAAATAAGCCGTCCTATCCCGATCAAATCAAACAGCGCACCCCCGCCAGAATGGCCCAACATGGAATAGCGTTCACATCTCTTACACTAAAAAACGAGGAGGAGATGGACTTGAGGAGAGGACCATGGATTATGGAGGAAGACCTTATGCTTATGAAATACATCGCCATGCACGGGGAAGGACGCTGGAACTCACTTGCTCGCTGCGCAGGTACATGCCATTTAAAGAATTAACATCAAAATGACATCTTTTTACTAAACATTAATATGTTTCGCCGATAACAATCATGTTCTAAAACGAAACCATGAACAGGGCTCAAAAGAACTGGAAAAAGCTGCCGACTTCGGTGGCTAAACTATCTCCGACCAAACATCCGACGAGGCAACATCACTCCGGAAGAACAGTACCTCATTCTCGAGCTCCATTCGCGCTGGGGAAACCGGTGAAATTTCAATATCCTTATTTGCAGAATACACGTCTCATTATCTCATCATCCCTGAACGCACCTAAACAATTTTGTAAATCCATAGGTGGTCGAAGATTGCGCAGCACCTCCCGGGAAGGACAGACAACGAAATAAAAAATTACTGGAGGACTCGGGTGCAGAAGCATGCGAAGCAGCTCCAGTGCGACGTAAACAGCAAGCAGTTCCAGGACGTCATGCGCTATAAATGGATGCCGCGCTTAATGGAGCGCATTCGTGCAGCCTCTGGCAAGTCGCCGACGGCGGAGTGTGGGACCGTAACTCGGGGGGAACAGACCACTGGCTGTGGACAGTTGGAAACCGGACGAGAGCACCGGTTGCGCCGGATCGTGGTCGTCGGCGACCGGCTCGATTGGCACGACGTTGACAGAGTTTAGTGAACCGGTATGTGACTGGATAAAGGGTAGCTTTGGGACGCAGAATGGAAACGTGTGTTGGCCGGAAAGTGTTTCGCAGGTCCCAGTGGGGCATGAGCATGGATTAGCGAAACTTGATCGGTATTGGGCCGGGGAGGTGTGTGAGAAAATGTGGAGCATGGAGGACATCTGGCAGCTGGCGCAATAAACTGAATTAATTTAAAATTGTAAAGGGGAGGAAAATCACTCAAAAAGTAATGAACTCTAGATTTTGGGAAGGTTGTTCTCAGGATCTGGGATGACATGTAATATATATGTATATATATAAAATTCGCAAGATAAAAATTCGGACTTATCTCAATTATTTTCCTGAAATGTTTAAGTGGTGGTTCCTTGTTAATTAGAAGGAGATTTAGAAATTATTATTTTTCATGATCTCATTCTTTTGATTTTTGGATTAATAAGGTGATGTATATAATAACTTCGTTTTGTAATAAAATCTCGAATTTAGGAAACATGCAACATAAGCATTTGTTTTTGTAATTTTCTTTTTTAATTATAATCTCTAATGCGATGACTCATGGGATCAGGCATAAATGAGCAAGCTCCCAATTTGTAAGAATTTTATTTTTAAATTTGTTATTATATCAGTAAAAAATAAGTGAATCCAAAAATGCTTATGGCTAAATCAGAAATTTTACTAACACAACTTGAAGACATCATAAATCCGTTAGCACGAATCTCGAGAAAATCTAACATACTAAAAGATAAGATAATATAAAGTCAAGCGGGCCCATTGGTGATAGATCACAGGATAAAGTCAACCCATTGTTGATTGACCACAAGACTTTTCAACGTAGCAACAAATAGCATCATTAACCAAGGATAAAGTCTTGTTGTTATGAATTCAAAGTCTACCTGACTCAGGACGTTTAAAATAGGTTTGATACCTATCTAGTTGTTAAGAGGCTCCACTCTTTGGTAGCCTCACAAAAAGTCACCTAGGCTCTTCATTAAAAGGCCAAAGGTTTTACCTTGACTCTTTTCCCCAAAGGACATTTTGTCAAATAGATGAGCTACCCATCAGATTACGATGATTTACTCATTGCGTGATAACCTGGTCTCATCTTAAAAACATGAGTCCTCCATCTAAGGGTGAGGAATCAATATCTAGACCAAAGCAGCTGGTCGTTAGAGCCTAACCAACTGAATCAAATCCAGACGATCGAATGCCAACAGAAGCCAACTAATAGATTCAAGCTGACATCGCCAAAATATCAGATACTCAAAGTTAATCATCAAGTCTATCAGCAAACCCTACATAACATGATAGGTGAACAAACCCTGTCTAACAATAATTTATTTGCATCCAATGATCGAGTGATAGGGTAGTTGGGCTGTAGGACTATTTATATGAAAATACCTAAAATATCCTTTAATGCCCCCAATCAAAGTAGTGGTAAGTATGTAGTTTTACACATGGTACTCCCCATGCTTATAAATTGAGGGGTCATTTCTATAGTAATGGGTAATCAAAAATCATTCTTATGCTAATTATTGTGCACTTTCTTTTCTCTCTCTCTCCATCTGTCTCTAATGTTTACGCTTTAGACCATGGGTGTGTCTCTCATATAAATTTTTATTCAACGTTTTGAAAGGTGTGATGAGCGTAGAGTACCAATAAAAAGAGTGGCACAATAAGAAGAAGAAACTCACCCGAGAGACACATAAAACATGGAGTTCATAAAAGAGTTTGCGCAATAACAAATCCAAGACTCAAGAGACCAGATGTTGTGTCAGATGCCATAAGTAATCTCAGAAGCATTTTCTCAGAGAGGGGAGTTGAAGCCTCAAGAACAAGTACCCTAAGAGCAAAACCCTTGAAATGAAGAATGGATGCCCAACAGTTTGAGAGCATTGTGGCCCGAGAAAAGCGCAGAAGATTCCTAGTGGCAAGACAAAATTGAATCCGTGTAGATGGATGGATAGGAGTTTGGGCATAATGAGGCCACTACCAACCAGAGAATGTGTTGACTGTATAGATTTCAAGTGTAATCAAAGAAGTTTAAGGTACCATCACTGAACTCTTATAGTGGTCAGACTGATCTGACAGAACACATTGCCTCATTCAAGCCAATTGTTTTCCTAATGTGGATCACTGATGCTCAGTAGTGTCTTCTATTTTTCACCATTCCAAGGGAGATGACACTCAAGTGATTTAATGGATTGCCTGTTAGGGTAATTGACCCGACCCACAATTGTATTTTTAATCTCCAAAATATTGTCAAAAACTTGACCCAATTAATATTTAGCAGCTAGTGTGAAAAAATACGATGATATGAAAAATAAATAATAATACTTCGCATCAGAGGTACTACACAAGTATATATATCTTTTCAAGTAATATAAGATTTTTCTTAAAAATGCTAGTATTGATCCCACAAGGATTGTTAAACTAATTAAAATGACTTGCTAAACTCAAATGCAAACTATATCTAACTTGCAGATTTAAATGAAACAAAAATGATAATAATAGTTAAGATTAATTTAAAGCAGATAAAAACAATTATATCTGATAGCTGAATAAAAGTAATTCTAACGAGTTTGAATAAAATATAATGATCTTTCCCCTTGCAATGAGATGTTAATCTATGTAGGATTTGAAAGAGTAAAAGTATGATGATGTATTGTGACAAATAAAAGCATTCCTATTCTTTACCCCCTCCGGGTTCTAGCAAAGAACATTGGCTAATTTAGAGTTTTTCACCAGCTTGTGTGTTAGTGATGAATAGATTAGTAGTGATGAGTAGATTCTGGCCTCTCACCTGGCCTCTCACCTTCAGATTACCCACTGTGCCCTCTCTATAGAACCTACTAGGGACCCTTAAAATCCAAACTCTAAACTAAATTTGAAAAAGAATTTAGTCTGTCACCCTAGAAACATCAATTCTACACACATCAAAACTTATCTCCTATATATTTGCACTCCTCTTAGGTGATTGCAACGGCTCTGCCCAGAATGAAGTGTGACACCCACTAGTTGGGTGAAATCATAGCTCTCTCAGGTCTTTATGTTTCTCAATGGATTTGAACCTCACAAGTGACCAATTTGTAAAATCATTAAAGAGTCGGTGAAAGTCATCAAAAATTTTAAAATTAAATAGAAATTTTTAAATCATTTTCATCCCACAAGATTAATTCCGAAGAGCAGGGAGAAAGAAAGGGAACTATTCAGAATTCATGGAGAATAAAAAATACCAAATTTGTATTGAAATCCAAGCCTTAGGAATAAAAACTTAAACACAAATACAAAATACCTTATGTGTTCTCCCCAACACAAATTCTGGAGTCTCCTTAAAGAAATCTATAAACTCTTACTCCCCTTAAAGAAATCTATAAACTCTTACTCTTACAGCACAAAATACACTAAAACATACACTTAAACACTAAAGTGAGACTTTAAATGATGCCAAAAAGTTCTCTATTTCGTCCATTTTTTATCTATATTAGTAGATCTCTGAAGATAACCAAGGGTTTCTTCAAACACCCCTTAAAAATTTGGTAAAATTCAATGAATTTTCTAGAAGGGTAGTTATTGGCACTATAACGCCCGTTGCTCGCGTCTATGGCGCTATAGCACCAGGGGATAATGCTATGATGCTATGCCATTTTGCGCAACTTTTGCTCATTTTTCCTTCCTTTTCTCTAAATGTCCATTTCATGTACTTGAAATAAAAAATATGCAAAATATGTTCCTTTAAAGTGCAATATCACTAAAATTATGCATAAAATGATCATAAAATATGCATTAAAAAAAAGGCAATTTTAAGGTGGATCATTCCCCCAAACTTAAACGTTACTTGTACTCGAGTAACTCATTTATACTATGTAAATTTATAACTTGTGGAAGTGAGTATAACTTAGAGATTTTTATAGATTTTGTTTTATAAATATGATAGTGAAACTTTAGAAAATTTTTTAATAACTCAGGTTAAAACTATTGTATAAGAATATCTAGTAATCAAGTCTAAGAGTTTTGATTTTCTAATCATTTCAAGAATAATTGTAATTTAGTCATATTTTGAATGCTTAGAAGAATTACAATAAAAAAAATTTCATAAAAAAATTATTAGTAAGTATGCTAATACTTTAAGCCTTAACTTAGAAATGAAATCATGTTCCTTTTCTGAAGATGATTCAAGTGGAGCCAATTTTTGATTAGAAATCTCCTCAAGTTTTCTCCTCACACTTTTTCATTCTTGCTCTTTTTTTTTTCTTTCTTTTGATTTTTCATTTCTTTTTCCTTAGGATCTTTTTTAACCCTTTCTTTTTTTTCATGTCATGAGAAGATTACTATATTTGGATAGCCTTTAATGATTTTGAACTCCTCTATCCTCTTCTTAAAGTTAAAAACTTTATAAATTTCCTTATTTAGACAAAATTGTATTAGCTTTGAAAAAGATTTTTCATAAAGTCTCAATTCTTTTTTTTTAAGTAAATCTCTAAAATTCTTAAAATTTCCAAAAGTACAATTTTCTTTACTTAAAATAGTAAAAACATAATCATATCCTCTCATACTAAATATTTTAACTTGAGATCTAACCCTTATTAAAAAAAACTTTTTGCTTAAGTTTTTTATAACATTTATAAAATTTAAAAAATAGTTATCTTAGGTTATCCTGACAAACCACAGGTTATGTTAAAATAAATTTTAAAAATAAAGTTCTCTAAGGACAAATAAAGTTTAGTTCTTTTAAAAAGGTTTTCCTCCCTTCCCCCAATTCTAAATTTTTAATTAATTTCAACAGATTAGTTAAGGCAGAAAGAAAATTTATGAAGTTTAAAAATAATAGAATAATACAAGTACAAGTAATAAAGATAAGTGAAATTAGCATGTCTAAAAATAAAAAGACTATTATAGCGGTTATATTAAAGTGAAAGATAAACATTAAAAACATGATAACAGTTTGGTACAATAAACATAATTTAACAGTTTTCACAAAGGTAAATTTAAAATGTTCTAGCAAATATACAACAAATTAAATACAGAAAATCGAAACATGAAAACAAAAAATAAAACACAACAAAACAAACAGAAAACACTACACATCCTCATCTCCTTCATCACCACCACCACCATCATCATCATCAAAGCCTATATCTTCCTACATATCATCAAGTTTATAAGGCGTATTACTGGGGAAAGTAGGAAATACTACCAAGTAGTCAGCCCTTAATAATTTCTCCAATGCCTCATGATAAGCAATATCATAATCCACTCTTCTCTGCATATACTATACATTACAACTAAGTTGGCTTTCCAAACTCTTCTGCTGATTCTCTACT